GCAGATGCTTGAGATAATGGAGTAGAAGACGGTATGTGTCTGAGAAATTTCATGCAAATCGAAATTAATAAAATGTATCCCAACTGATGAGCCTTATTACTTACTGTGTTCCAGATTACTGTGCACTTTCTGGATTTTTTTTTTTTCCCAAACAGCATCCTCCAATGTGACTTCCTACCATAGGCACCAGCCTTTTATATTTCCACCTGTCACATGTTCATTAAAAGAACCTTATCTTGCCATCACTGAAAATGTCACAATGAATCAGCCAAGATTTCAAAAGAGCAGGTTCCAAAAGAAACACCTGTAGAAAATTTGGAGCTGTGGCAGCCACTTTGTTGTGTGTGTGTGTGTATGGTTTCCCCATAGGAGGACCATGGCTATTTCTTGGGTACAAACCTCTGTGGCGTGGATCTTAGACAGCTGCGCTGCTCTGCACTCACACCCATACTGATGCCTTTAAGGCTTATATAAGTATGGGTTTTCTTTCTTTTTACCCATAAAAGTAAAATGGCAATGGAGTGCAAGAAACTTCAGTAAGAAATGAGGTGCAGAAAGGATGTTGTTAAGTTGTTAACTTGATCTTTAATCATTAACTAAAATAAAACAAGCAAGTAGAATATCATGGCAAAAGAAAGACATGAGGTAGAAATTTCATTTTCTTTTCTTTGATTAGAAAAGAAACAAAATACATTCCTTTAGGCACTGGTAGAAAATAACATCTTAACAAGTACCTGGTCATCCCTAAATAATTATAATTACCAACATCAGAAAAAGATGTTTCAAATAAGAATTTTGTTCCCAGCTCTCTAAGAAAATATTAACTCCTTGTCCATCAGAGCATGAACTGTAACATCATAACCCTTCCAATAAAATGAGAAGAAACTTAAGACTTCAAAATTAGCTTTATTGTATTTGCTATTATTTTACAGATGAGAGAGATTCCATATATATAATAAAAGAAAGGTGATAGAGTTACATATGAAAACAAGAAATGGTTTGATAAATAGAGGGATGAATTCATAGAACATAAAAAGACATATTTAAAGCTGATTGGTCATTGGGTTCAGTGGTGACTGAGTACACACACGTTAGTTTGAGATTTCTAAAATGTACCAAATAGTAGCTCAACCTTGAGAAGCAGGAGTCACTGTTATGCTAAGACAAATTTAAGACTAGTTAAAAATCAGAAGAAAGCAAGGACATGCATCTTGCCGCATGGTATAGTGATCAGATCAGATGGAGTGCTATATATAGCAAGAGAGCATGGTGTGACAGAGATTTTGGTGAATGCACACTGCCAGGATTTACAAAAAGTAGGACTGTTCGCTTGTAAAGTCTGCATGTCATTTGGGATTTCCATCTTCATAACATTCCCGTGAATTTCATTAAGTGGTATTTTGGAGTGAGTCCTTTTGGAATGGAGAGGACTGTTTATCAAAGCATTCTTTTTTGTAACTTACAATTCCATGACACTCTACAGAAATAATTCTTCAAAAATAGATCCAAGTTGGCTGTCATCCTGCCTTCCTCTCCTGACTGCTGTTAAATACTTTCTGTCAGCACACAAACACAGCTTCCTCTTGTGATCAGAAGTTTGTTTTTGTAAAAAGTCCCTGATATCGTCATACTTCCTGTAATGATTTTATTTCATACAACATCCTTAGTCTTAAGATTTGATTGCCGATGAAAGAATATGGTTACCTTATAGTAAAGGGTCAAAAAAAAAAAAGTCATTTCTTTGAACTCCCATCCAATCATGCTCTTGGAACTCTTTACTTTTTCGGCAATATTAAAGGTATTAGCAATAATAACAATCATAAGAATAATAAGCTAAAAGGCCATATTTCTTAGCTGAAAATCAACAGCCTCTGATTTTTTTTCTAAGAGAATGGGTACTATATAATCAATTGTAGTAGCTCCCTTGGAGTCTAATTTTGAGTAGGTTCTATGTCTAACGTGAATATTTTTGAGGGGTGAAATTAGATATCTCAGGTTGTTGTGAAGGCATGGATAGTAGATAAGATTTAGCCTTGAGGAAAGATGAGATCATAGCTAAGTACATCACAAGGTTGGAGCTGCTAAACAAAAAATGTGGTAATGGGCTTTTAGACGGATGACTTTATCTTTGGTCTTACCCATCTAGCAGTGGTTAGTAATACAAAATGATGAGCCTGCTGTTCCCAGCCTCTCTGTGACAAAGAACATGCCCAGAATTTACCAAAGGCCCCTGTGTTTGGCTGAAATTATCTTTACTAGGGGTCTTTCTAGGTGGCACGGTGGTAAAGAATCTGCCTCCCAATGCAGGAGACATGTGTTCAATTCCTGAGTCATGAAGATCTCCTGAAGGAGGAAATGCAACCCACTCCAGTATTCTTGTCTGGAGAATCCCATGGACAGAGGAGGGTGGTGGGCTACAGTCCTTGGGGTCTGTAGACAGACACAACTGAACATGTGTACACTTCACTCCCTTTACTAGTTATGTGGCCTTTATCTACATGTATGACACCTTGGGTATTTCTGCTCATGTACCCATTATGTCTTTTGACTTCCATAATCAATTCTTGTAATTTTATTAGGAATTAACTATCCAATCCAATCAGCAGCTTTTTCTCTGTCTTCTATTTTAACATACTAGCAACGTACTCATTGAAAGATGAGAGTTCCTATCCCCAGTTTTTAGGCATCTAAATGTCCACAAGTTAATACTACTAATTTGGATTGATTATTTTTAACCCACGGGTTTATTTGGCTTGCTAGAATGGCTGGCAAAGATGAGGCATAATCAACCAAGCACATGGGGAGCTGAGAGGAAACTGACTCAGGAGAACTGACAGAGGATGAAGATGAAGTGAAATGCCTGGAGCTTTATTTTTGCCTCATGTTTCTCTCTCATTATGTGTCTAGTGGAAAGTTTTTGGAAAAAAAGTTGGACTTAATTCATCAGTGTTTCTTAAGAGTTAGGAAAATTGCTACTCCTGGGAAGCCAGAGGATATGATGATGGTTTGTTGTAATGTGAGACTGAATGACCAATATTTTCTCTGAAGTTTTTTTTCACTGGTAGAAGTCTGTTTACATGGAAGCCTAACTGGTCAACTATTAGCTTTTTTTTTTTTTTTACACCTTCTCACTGCCTTCCTTACTCTGACAAAGACGTTGTTTCCGATTTCTTTTAAAAAATCAAAACAACAGAACAGCAATTTAAAAAAAGTCTACCAAAGAATATACAAATGCCTCAAGAAGTTAAGTAACTGCTTTTTTTTTTCAATCTAATTCTAATTATAAAATTAAATTCCAATTACACTTTTTCATTGCAAATTCTTACTCTGGAGACTCAAACTCTTCTTACAAGGCACCTTACTCTGAGAGCAGAAGCCACTCTTGGCTGCCCAGAGACCCAAAGACTGGTTGGCAGGACATTCTGATTAAAGATAAACTGAAATTCACAAAAGGCAAAGTGTATGTATTAATAGTTAATCAATTAGAAGTGAAATGTTAAGCTTTAGACCTTCAGGGAGGGGTAAGTCTTCCTAAGGGAAGAAAATCAAGTGCACCTTGGACTTATGCAGGGTCAAATGCTGAAATATGCACAATGAAGAACTTGGAAATTAAGACTTGAAATGCCACTACCTTTCACTTGAAAAAAAGTCCCTTCCAGAAGGGTATGGTAAAATAGCCTGCATTCAAAACTAGCTTTTTCAAATATTTAACAGAACAAAATATATAGCATGCATGAAAGCCAAGAATAAGAGGCTGGAAGGCTTTGCTATCGTCACGCTGTCTGATGTCTAACTCTTTGACCAGAGACCGGGTTCAGAACCACGCCTGAAGACGGGGCTGCTCCTCTGCTGAGCTACCAGAGCAGAGGCTTCCGCTCTTCTGACTTTGCTTTTTTCTTTTCTTCTTTCTCCAGATGATGTCTGAGTCCTGAAAGTTCAAGAAGGAAGAAAGAGTCATCCTGCAGTAGAAGTGTCCCTTTTAAAAAAATCTGTCTTATATAATCAACCCTGAATATTCAGTGGAAGGATTGATGTTGGAGCTCCAGTACTTTGACCGCCTGATACGAAAAGCTGACTCCTTGGAAAAGACCCTGATGCTGGGAAAGATTGAGGTCAGGAGGAGAAGGGGGCGACAGAGGATGAGATGGTTGGATGGGATCACTGATTCAATGGACATGAGTTTGAGCAAACTCCAGCAGACAGCAAAGGATAGGGAAGCCTGGCATGCTGCAGTCCTTAGGGTCACAAGGAGTCAAACATGACTGAGAGACTGAATAACTACAACAAAATTTACATTTTTATGGGATTTAAATCAGTGAATTCAGAGAAAAATCAGAGAAAATAATTGTCTAAATATCTAGCTCACTCATGCATGGCATTTTTTACTTTTAACCAGTTCTTTTAGGTTTCTGGAGTCATTTCTGGGCTGTAATTTCCTGATAAGTAAGAAAGAAAACCAAAGATGGTTTGTCTTGATCACTGAGTGAATCTTTACTAGGCTGTCTGGTGCGATGCTTACTGGGTGCCAGGTCAGTACAATGCTATTGCTATTTAGTTGCAAAGTTGTGTCTGACTCTTTGGCTACCCCATGGACTGTAGCCTGCCAAGTTCCTCTATCCATAGCAAGAATACTGGAGTGGGTTACCATCACAATGTATTTTATCACATAAATAAGACACGGCTTGCAGATTACACTGACTTGATGCTGTTTACATTCTGATTTCTCAAATGTAACAGAATCGTTTTGAACAATTGCAGTGAGAAGGCTTGATGCACTGGAAATCTTTCACAATGCAAAAACCCTTTTTATGGGTCAAAACGTTCTATTAGTTTGACTGTTCTTAGTTGGATGTTGAGTATGAGTCTGTTTCAGTCAGATTCATGTCCAGGTATAATCAAATAATTTTGCCACCTGAATCCTTTTGTGAGCATGTTAGCACGGAAGGATTTTGTACAAAGTAATAATAAGTAAGTGTGCTTAGAAAATATTAAGTTTCAAATCAGACACAACTTTAGTGCTATTTATTGAATAGTTTGTTATAACATGATTTATTGACTGGTACAAATACTGGGTTTTGAGAAACTACATATTTATTTTGTGTGTATTGCAATAGATCAGATGATCAAGTCTTCCAAATTTGGCCAAAATAGATATGCAAAATGAACATAAAGAAAGACTTTTCAATCTTATGCTATATCATTGTACCATATACAATATAAGTATGTAAGATTCCCAATCTTGATCACATTTAAATTAGCACTGATGTAAATCTGTGAAAAAACTTTATGGTACAAGCAAAAATTTGTAAACATGTCGAGGCATTATCTTCCTGTGATTTCACTACATTATACAATTAAAAAGTTTAATAATTGAAAAGGCTAATATCTAACTACACTAATGTGATTTTTTAAAAGAGAATGAAGATCTAAAACAAACTGCCATAAAGTGATCAACAGAAACAAACAAACAAAAAAACTTCCTGAATAACTGAAGACAATAACTTCTTGTGCATTAGGATTGTTTCTTAAACTTTCACAACTTCAACTCCATTGTTTTTATACCTGTGTTAAATGTTCAGTTCCGGGTCAGAGGTTTCAGACACATTTTCTGTTTAATGGAAGGAGACTTGGGATTATGGTAACATGATATGACACCATTTCACAGATAGCCTGAATCCAGATCACAGGCCTTGTTTGCTCTGAGTCCCAGCACTCCCATTCTTAAAGAACAAAATAAACATGAGCACATTTGTCGAAGATTTGCTGTCTTCATCACAAATGTCTTTGTGGATAATTTCCACAACCATGATGGAAGAGCCAGGAGAAGCATGCCTGTGTGTGTGTGTGTGTTCAGGTCTATGTGTGTGCAGGTCAGAGTATGCATACACATGGGGTCACGTGCACATCCATTCTTCATTTGAACAATGAATGTTCAAATCTGTCCTGCTCTGAATGATATGAGAGTTCACCTTTTGTACATTTAGCCAATCTTGGCGCATTGATTCTCCGCCCCCAAAGAATGCTCTAAATCCTGCCAAAATCCAAACGTTACTCTGGAACACTGAGTTGTATGAGATTTATTTCAATACTGAGGGCACACTTTACATGCTATCAGGGTATCAAGCTTTGTTCATGCTTCAGGGAGTCATCTGCATTTGAACTCCTTCGCCTTGGCTCTTCCTGTTCTTCACGGCCCCAGCCAATCTCCTGGACTTCAACGTAGGAGCAAATTTTCGATTGTTATGCGGCTGAAATTTTCTCTTGTGCTGATTGTAATCAGCAAGCATGTACTTGACTTGAGACAGACAACCATTACTATCAAGAGTGTTATTTTGCTCTTGAAATGTCCACGGCAGTTCCTCTGTGGATAAGGTATTTTAATAGATAAGGAAGGAAACCCCTGAAAGGAATACTGGTCCACAATAAAGAACAGGGGATGAGGGATGAGCAGAGTCCCCTGGCTTCAGAAAGTTAACTTCGGAAACTCTGTTGGGAGTGAAGCTTTGCAAACTTTCATTTTTGCATGAATCACTTGGCGACCCTGTTAAGATACAGACTATGACAGATTAAGCCCATATGGGGCTAAGTTACTAATAAAGCTCCTGATGACGCTGATGGGTGCTACTGACCTGTGAACGTCAGTTTAGACAGAAAGGGGCTAGTACATTTCAACAAAAAATTTAATGTGAACAATTACATCATCTCCATTTGCATGTTTTTACAACAGTTCATTCCTAATTTGATCAATTTCACTCTGTACATCAACATGCACTGAAAAAGGTAAAAACGGAATTATTATACTTTGTGAATACAGAGTCCCTTTGCCCCAGTTTATGTATGACCAGATAGCCTCCATTATAAATACTGTTTTCTCTGCTTGAAAAAATGAGTGTGTTTTAAAGCAACGATGTAAGTGGATACCGAACCACATTTCAGCTCTCGGTTGTGACGTCTTTCATACTTGGACTGAATAAATACCTTATATTATAGCTGACGTCCTTGTATAAGAAGTGCATTTCCTTTCAGTATCAGCATCCTGAAATGTCTGTCCACTCAGTAGGACATTGCTCCCATAGCCCTCCACCAGCTTTTTTGAAATGCAGCCCCCTTTTGGAAAATTAGAATTTGGGGAGTTCGCTTCAGACAGAGCATTGAAGAAAGGAACCCTCTCAGATGTGGCAAAGGTTGTTTAAAGCCATCAGATCAGAGGAACAGGTCTGTAAGTCTGCGCAGTGTTTCAGGGCATGTCCACACATTTTCAGTTTCCTGGTGATCTCTGCATTGGAAGGTAGCTCAGATGCGAAGTCGCTCGGAGATAAGCCGAGGCAGCACCACTGCCGTCAGACATTGCTCTGCTGTAGCAAAAGCGTTCTCAGCTCTCTTTCCCTCTGATCCTCCTGTCTGTACTTCTCTTCGAGTTTCTGCTTCTCAGCATCCGCGCAGTAAAAGGTACAATCCGGGCTCTTCCGGATCTGTTCAAACTGACTGAAGTCAGCCACGTACTTGCCGGTTTTCGAGAGAGAAACAACAGGCACAAACTCGAAGCCCCAGTAGATCTCCTCCGGGATGTAAGATGTGCGGCTCTGGCAGACAGCACTGGTGGACTCTACGGTGGCGTTGAGGAGGACCACCAGCTCAAACTCCTTCTCCTTCAGGTTCTGGGGGGTGAGATCCCGCAGGGGGCTTGTCTCATCCAGCACGTGGTAGAACGTCATGGGCAGGATGAGGAAGGGGCTCTCGGAAGAGGAGTCCACGTGGAACTTGACGGTGGCCTGGTTCAGGAGGATCTGCTCGCCCTCCTTGGTGACGTGGGTCTGCAGGAGCTTCCCCGAGAGCTGGCACTGGATCAGGAGACTCTTCCTCATGTTGGCCACCTGGATCACCAAGCACAGCTTCCCATTCTGCTTGGTGATGACGGCGCAGTGGCTGAACTTGATGGTCTCCGCCCGCTTTTTGGGTCTGGCGATTTTGGCCAGGAAGGTGCCCGTGATGAAGATCTCAATCAAGGTGGTAATGACCAGCTGGGCCACCAAGAGGAAGATGGCGTGAGGGCATTCCTCGGTGATAGAACGGACTCCGTAGCCGATGGTCGTCTGGGATTCCAGGGAAAACAGAAATGCCCCGGTGAGGGAGTCCACTCTCATGATGCATGGGGTGTGATTGGAAGGGGGCTCATTGGGCTCCAGGTCCCCGTGGATAAAGGCAATGGCGTAGTAGATCACCCCGAACAGAAACCAGGTCATCACGAACGTGGCAGCAAACAGGGTGAGCTTGTATCTCCACTTCATGTCGATGACGGTGGTCCACAAGTCTTGGAGGTAGAGCAAGTATATGCCGTCCACTTTGTCAATTCTCACGTTGCTGTGCCCGCTCTTGGACATGACTCGGGGTCTGCTGGCCTTGAGGCCAGCACCAGCAGTGTGCTTCACCAGGGGCGCGCTGGCCATGCTGATGTGAATCGGGTCCATGGTCCGGCTCCTGGGGCCACCTAAGGAAAGGACAAAGAAAGACGTCCCCTTACTGCCATATGTCCACATGGTAGAAACAGGATACTCCTGCGAGATGAAAGTGAACATACACGAAAGTTCACGAGAAAGGTGAAGACCGAAGGCCAGATTCATCGACGTGTACCTGAGGATGGTGGTAGGATAGAGTGCGGAGCATAGACTGGAAACCAGGAGACCGGGGTTAAATTCTGACTTTCCAACTTATTCACTGTGTGACCTGGGGCAAGGTATTTAACCTCTCTGGACCCCGGCTACCTAATCTGTGAACTAGGAATACAGTCTACTTCTCAGAGTTTTTGTGATGGTTGAATGAGATGACGGCTGTTAAGTGTCAAAACAGAACTTCACACTCAAAAAATGATGCTAATCTTCTCTTTCTGATATCATACTCACAAGCATCCACCCCACAGAGTATTATGAATATTTATGTATATTCAGCTCTCAAGGGTTTTCAAGTATAGAAAATTTAAAAATAAGTTGACTTAGCATAGGGCGAGTACTGATATAACTGAAATGCACCATCCATAAGATACTTACTGATATAGCAATGGAATATGTTAGCACAAATTTTAAAACCTTGGGTAGTATTCATTAAGTTTTTAAAAGCTATTCTTTTGCATGATATAGCAATAGCCGTTAATAGCCATTCATTTCCCCCCATAGTCTGATGAATTATTTGGAATCCTTGATCTGTCCCAGTTCTTGATTACAGTGGGAAAGATCAAGCTACCCAACAACCAAAAACAAACTTAGAGCAAATAATCAAGCTTTATTAATGGCTTGATCAATAGGCTGGTTATGCTGAGATACAAGTTATCAATATAGAATATTAGGTGTGGCATTTAGGTATGGCACAAAAATTCTGCCTTACTTCTTTTGAGCTAAGTAGAATCAGCCTAAGAGTCTATTTTAAAGAGCTAGCGAACAAGTACCTAAGTACAGACATCTGACATTGTAGCAGAACAGACTCACCTGGAAGAGGTGCTAGGCTTCCACGCTGTGCCGCAGAGAATGCCCTGAGTTTACAGACAGGGAAAAGCTGGGGTGAGGCCCCACAGCATCTCATAATGCCTGCCTCGTGACTGAGATAAGTTACCCTGACATTCCTTGGAAAAGATAATGTGAGTGATTACAGGGTAATTACCTGGTTGGCATGATTTTCCATCTCAGTGGCATTTTAAGAATAATAACAATAAAAAAATTCTCCCTTTAAAAAGACACTGGTATACAGTGGTCTGTGATTCATGCCGTAATCTGTGCTGTTGGAGTAATGTTTTCTCAGTAGATGTTTCTGAAGTAATCCTCTGGGCAAATCCCTTCAAGGAATCGGAAACTGTATCCATTAAAGGCTAACACCTGTTGAGGATGCGGTAAATCTGTTGGGCTTTTTAATTTTCCTCTTACACTGTTAAGAGTTTGCCATTTACTGCCTGCCCCTTGAGATGATCTTTCTTTTTTTTTTTTCTTCAGAAAGGGGAGTCTCTTTTTCATTTTCCTTGCAAAGAAGGGTCCTATGTTATCCAGAATTTATTTTTCTTGTTGAAGCCTATTCCACTAATTTGGGGACCAGTCTAGATGGAAAGTAGACTTCCCTGGTGATTTAGACAGTAAAGACTCTGCCTGCAATGCAGGACACTCGGGTTCGAGCCCTGGGTTGGGAAGCTCCCCTGGAGAAGGGCATGGAATCCACTCCAGTATTCTTGCCTGGAGAATCCCCATGGACAGAGGAGCCTTGTGGAGTACAGTCCATGGGGTCGCAAATAGTTGGACACAACTAAGCGATGAACACTTAGATGAAAAGTACAGGATATAATTTAGCATGGGCTTTGTCAGACCCTCAGCAGCCCCTCTCAGGAATCAAGAGGAAAGCGACCACAGTGGAAGTTTGGTAACAATGCCAGGCTGGCATGCCCAGGTGCCTAGTCAAGCTCAGAACATGGGCGCTGGCAAAGACAAACTCAGCTTATGGACAAGTAATTGCATGCGCTTAAAATAAAATGAAACTCTTAGGGGAAAGTGCATGCCATTCAACCCACTGAAGTGAAAACAGAGGCTTAAGTTTTCTTGTGCGCAAGACACACGACTGTCCTGCGGCACAAATGAAGCTCCCAGCTCAGCCTTCTGCCAGATGCTGGGAGACTTGGCCCTGTTTTTATGAAGGCAGGGCCATGATGCTTCTGTTTTAACCTCTCTTTCAAAGGGGCAGAGGGCCAGGCGAGGGATGAGCTGACTCTGTCTCTTCTTTCTCCCCAAAGCTCTTGTGCTGCAGTTTTGCATAACTGTTGTTGGAATCAAAGGCCCCGATGGCCATCAGAGGATGGGGGTCATACACGGGGAAGAAAACCTAGATGGATGGGGATGAGGGCCTTGGGATCAGCCTCTCGCTGTGGAAAAGAGGGGCTGGTGGACAGCACCCCAAGGCTAAACACCCACTCCCTCCCTCCCAGCACCCCGCGCCCCCAGAACCACGTGCTACCTGGAGGCTCACTCGGCCGGCGGGTCAGATGGCGTCTTCTCAAAGGCAGGTGGATCGTCCTCACTCCCCTTCGCCCACCTGGCTACCATGGGACTCTGCTACTTCCTGAAAGAAAGAGGGCCACGTGGAGCTCACAGGTGTTTACTAAGAAACTGACCCGGTGAAACTGACCCTCAGCGTTCACCTTCCACCCCCGCCCCCCTGGCGATCTGGCAGGGTGCCTGGAATAGATCAAGGCTCAAGGAGTGTTTCAGGAATGAAACTGAAGCCCCAGCCACAACCCTCACTGCAGAATCCCCACCCTCTGGAGGGAGCTCAGTAGTAAAACACCCTGGAAAGAGTGGGTTAACTCACCCCCACCGAAGCCCACTATCGACTGACCAGCAAACAGGGAGGCAGGAAGGGGAAGTGCAGAGGAAGTAAACAGTGAGAATTGGAAGGGAAGAGTCTAGAATATTTTTACCGCCTGTGGAAATGCATTATTACTGTTGAGTCATAGAACATTAGAGTTTAAAAGAATGTCAGAACCAAGGCATCTGACACACGGTTTTCAAATGAGGAGACCTGGGAGGTTGCAGTGACTTGTCTTGCCCATGGCAGAAAGAACAAGTCTTTGGGAGCTAGACCAGAGTTCTTGTCAGCACACAAACCCTCTTAAATCTCCGAAGTTGAATGCAATCTGTTCTGATGTCACTAGGCTCTTTGGCATGCTCCTTTTCTGAAATACTTCTTACTAAACTATACATACATATATATATGGTAAGAATGGAAGATCAAAGAAATTAACTACTGTGAGCTGGAGCACACCATCCCATCAGAGAGGAAACCAACCTGTAAATGGACAGAGAGACCCTGACCAATCAGGAGAAATACATATGCAAACACAAAGCAGAAACAGAGGAAGGACGGATCCAGAAATGGTCCAAAGCGGGACGTGTTAGTCACAGTCACATCTGACTGTGTGATTCCATGGACTGTAGACTCTGTCCGTGGAATTCTCCTGGCAAGAATACCGGAGTGGGTTGCCATTCCCTTCTCCAGGCGCTCTTCCTGGCCCAGCGATCAAATTCAGGTCTCCCGCATTGTGGGTAGGTTATTTACCATCTAAGCCATCAGGAAGCCCAGCCCAAAGTGGGAAAGGTACAGAAAATAAAAGGACAGTAATAAAGATTCAGGTGAGTGAGAACAACACTAAAGCTTCAGATCACCAATTGCAGTACTCATCACCATAAATAGATAACACAAGAGCCAGGGACTAGCCACTCTTCTAGGTGCTTTTCACGGGTGGACATAATTAGCCCTCAGAGCATCCCAAGAGGAGGAAACGGGGCCACAGAGAATCCAAGCTCTCGGCAGCGGGCACCCAGCGGGAGGGTCCCTGTGAAGCCCCTGTGCCCACACTCTTGACCACCCTGGTGAAGACGCTCAGACCCTAAGTGCATGAGAACCTCCTGGCAGGCTTGGCATTTCCGATTCGGTAGGTCTGGGGTGGAGCCCGAAAATCTGCAGGTCTAAGGAGTTCCCAGGTGATGCTACTGCTCCAGGAACACACTTTGAGAACCAGCACACTGGATGCAGAAGCTGAATCGTATCAACATCTTAACAGCTCTCCGCCGCTTGGTGAATATCCTATCCCCCACTCGCCCTTGGAGTTCTAAAGTAACACCATCGCATATAGACGTGAAGAACATCTGTTTATTACTTTTCAGAAATGCCCAGTCTCCACCATCCTTATAAATAAATGAAAGCCAGTGACCCGGTGGCCCAAGGCTAAGTACTAATTCTTTAAAGGAGCAGAAGGGCTTCCCTGGTGGTTCAATGCTAAAGAACGTGCTTGCCAATGCAGGAGACACGGGTTCGATCCCTGGTTAGGGAAGATCCTGCGTGTCACAGAGCAGCTGAGCCCGGCTACCACAAACAGCCTGTGCTCTAAAGCCCAGGACCTGCAAATACTGGAGCCCGCGTGTCTAGGGCCTGTGTCCACAGCCAGAGAAGCCACCACAGTGAGGGGCCTGCATACCGCAAGTGGAGAGTCACCTCCACTCTTCACAGCTAGAGAAGAGCTTGTTCAGCAACAAAGACCCCGCGCAGCCAAAAATAAGACAGATAAATAAATAAAATTATTTTTTTAAAAGTAGCAATATATGGAGAGTCTGATCAAAACTATAACACATTATCTATATTTATCATATAAATATTATGTTACAGAATATGTAAGCATTATATGCAATAAAATTTATGTTATATAATATTTACAGTAAACATATATAGATATTTATATTACATTAAGTATGTAATGTAATATAAATAATGCTAGTAGAAATATTAGCCAACATTAAGCACAGGCAAGTCTTTCATTTCCACAATAGACTTTCACCCACCACTTTTACTAACTAACCTGTCTTTACAGGGTATCTGACTCTCAAAAATGGGATAACTGTGCTAACTTTTACATAATGTTTGGCTGGGAAAAGAAACTATGGTTTTAGAATGATTTTTCCTTCCTCTTAGTACAACACTGTAAACTTCTAAGAATTTAGAACTCTGCTGAGTCAAATTTTGGAAATTTTCAGTTTTCCCGTCCTGGGAAGAAGTTCTGTGTTCCATGGTGGGCTAACAGAATGCATACACTTGCAGAAAAAAATAATTAAAAAATGGGGAGACAGTGGCTCCCTAAACCTGGAACTTCTCAATCACGCCTCCAGTGATCTCATTCTACATA